CCCCGCCTCGTAGGGGCCGGGCACTCTCCCAGACCCCTCTCCTCCTGCGGCGGCGAGACGGGGGGGGGAACTGTGGTGGGGGGACGGCTGCAGCCTCCCCCTGGGGAGGGAGCGCAGTGTGGGAGGCCTCCTGGCGGCTGAAGGTTTCGTTATTTTACTTACAGAGGCAGACCATAGACCACTTTAAGCAGCCATGAAAACGGCCGTGCGGCACGGACGGCAGGGACGTTGCAGGCCCGTCCTCTCGATCTGTAAGCAAAATAAGAACACGCCATCAGGAGGGCGCCTGCGCGGCCACCCTCCGCCTCTGCGAGGGGGCAGTTCTGGGACGGCAGCACCAGTCCTTGGCCAGGCCACTCCGCTCTGGGCCTCAGTGACCCCGGGCCACCCTGAAGGCTGTTCCTGATGGGACCTTGCAGGAGTCTGGAGAACTGCGGCACCGCCTTGGACAGCGGGGACACCCTGGTTGTTTTCAACAGTTCTGCTCCAGGGCGCGCGAGCTCACTGGGGAGACAGAGGCCAGAAATCACCCCCAGGGGGCACGGCCATGCCGCAGCCCCTTCTCCTCCATTCTCCTCTTGGGATCTTGGGCACGCATGCACACACGCCTGGTGTGAGTTTTAAGCCACTGGGTCCGGGACTCAAATCGTGGTCGACCTTGTGGGAGCCCAGCAACATAGCCATTACACCATCTACTGGTCCCACCTCCTAGGTTTTTTAAAAATAATTATTTTATTTAACTTTATTATTTTAATTTGATCTGAGAGGGACAGAGTGAGAGTGAGAGCAGGAAACAGAAGCAAGCTGCCGGGTCCGGGACTTGAACCATAGTTTGCCATGTGCGAGTCCGGAATTCCTAACCACCAGCCACCTGCCAGCCCCACCTCCCAGTTCAGAGGTGCGCTGTGGCCTGGCTCAGCACCACCCTCAAGGGACTCAGTCCCCACACGCGTGTTTTCCAAGTGACTCGAGAATTAGGACTTGGGGGGCTCCAAACAAAGCCAGAGTGCGGTGGCCTTAGACGGAGAGAGGCCGGGAGGGGTTTGGCCTCTCTGAGCCGCCACAGCGGGCCACGGGCCGGGGTCCTGGGGCAGGCACAGCTCTGGGAGCACAGGCGTGAGCCCTTGGGCCGTTGAGGCTGGGACGGAGCCTCACCTGTGAGGGCCTCCGGCTGCAGGGGCACAGTCTGGGCCCGGGACTGCCCCTCCTCCTCGGCCCTCTCTGCCCGCCCCCCACCTGCCCCAGTAGCCCACGCTTCGACCCCAATGGGTCCGTGTGCCCGGGTGGTCCTCGGGCCACATGGAGCAGCCCTGAGATGGAAGGTCGTGTTCGGCCCCTTGGTATGGCTAGAGGCCAGACCCTGAGGACCCTGGGCGGGAACTTGCAGCTTAGGCCAGAGGCTGCTGTGAGGGTGGCCGCCAGCCAGGTGCACGCATGGAGTAGCCACCGGCTTTCAGGGACCAGGAGTGAGAACCATCCAGGCCACTGTGGGACTCAAGCGTGGCGGGGGAAGCCTGCTCATGCCCCCACAACCTTCACGCCCGCCGGGTAAAGCCAGGACTGCCCCCCACAGGACCCTCAGGTGTGGGGGCCCTGGGTTGCACATGCCGGCTGCCCCATCTAACCACAGGCCTCAGTGTAGCCTGCAGGGTCCCGGCAGGTCCTGGTTTCCCCCAGCCAGGAACTTCTGGTCCTGGACCAGGGCTTCTGGGAACATGGCTTCTGGTTCAAGGAGAAAGGAAGCTGCAGACAAGGTAGGACCTTGCATGGCCTTGTCTGCCCCCCTTGGGGCCCAGGCAGTGGGGGCCCTGGAGCTATCGCTGGCCCCCAGGGGTGGCCTCCTGCCCAGCTGAGGCGACCCTGGGAGTCGCACTCGGCAGCGGCCTCACCATGGCCTGCTCAGGAAGCACGGGGCGGAGCAGCCGCGGTGACCGGCTGCATGACTGCGGGAAGAGGAGAGGACGTGGCACCCCAGCACACAGGGAGGCCCACGGCCTTTGGCGCTGGAGGTGTGAGGCCAACTGGGCAGGCCCGGCCCGGGGCCAGGACCGCCACCATCCAGGGCTGGCCATATGTCAGGGGCAGCGTTCTGGCCTCTGTGGCCCTGTCCTGGCTGTTGGGGGCGGGCTGGGGACCCACTGCAGACTCGGTGACAGACCCTGGCTTGGCCAACCCTGGAAGGAAGTGGCAGCTGGTTGGACAGGCAGGGAGGGGTGTCAGCCAGGAGGCTCCGTGGGTGCCAGCATGTGCCCGAAGTCCCCACCCCCAGCGCTGCACCTGGGAGCAGGTGTGTGACCAGCACAACCCGGCTTAGCCAGCACCCTGCCAGCAATGGAACAGGCCTGGCCTGGCCCTCCTTCCTGCCTGCTGACCAGGGCCTGCCAGGCCGAGGAGCGAGAGGCCCCCCAGGGAGAGGCCTCTCTTGGTTTCGAAGCCTGGGAACGTCCCCCGGTACAGGCTTTCCAGCCCCGGCATGTGGGGTGCTGGCTGTTCTTCACGCCAGCGCCCACCGGGAACACTCGGGACCCCCGCGCCTCGTCCCCAACTCGCCACGGCGGCCCCGCCTGGCTCGCAGGCTGGACATCACTGAGCCACCCACTCCTCTCCTCGAACAGAGGGCTCAGTGGTCTTGGAGGAGGTGCCGAAGCCCTCCAGGTGTCCCTGTGCTCCGTTTGCCCAGTCCCATCAGCCCAGAGCCAGCGAGACAGTAGGAGCTGGGGTCTGGGCCCACCTTGCCCTCCTCTGAGCCCCACCTGGAGGCCTCCCTCCCTGCCCACAGGCCTGGCTGCTGGCTCCTAGTGGCCTGCAGTCCTCCAGCCCAGAGCTGCCTCTGCTGTGACCTGCTGTGTGACCCCAGGAAGGCCCTGGCCCTCTCTGAGCTCTGTCCCTCCTGAGCATGGAGGCATCCCTGGGCCTCCAGAGCTGCAGGCGGCGCGAAGTGTAACGCTGGCCCTACCCGGCCTCTAGTGGTCAGTCGCCTGTCCGGTCCTCACCCTGCGGGATGACAACGCCCACCCAGAGGTCGCATGGCGTACGCACAGTCACAGAGCAGGGCAGAGAGCGGGGACACAAAGCCGTGAAACTCGGCCCTCGGCTGGCAGAGTCCCCACTCCGGGCCATGTACAGGTGCAGGTGAAGGCTGCCCTGCCCGCTTTGCGGCCCTCAGCGCTGGGGGTTACTCACGTGTGTGAGGCGTAAAGGAGGGGAGCCGTGTGGCCCCCTGGGCCGTGATGGGCAGCGGGGGTGGCATCTCTGGGGTCGAGGACCGGGGCTGGGTCTTGACCTCGGCGGGCGAGTCGGGCATCGCTGTGTCCTCCTGTCCCGTGTGCTGGGTGACCAGGGACCTGGAAAACAAGTCGAGGAAGGGGCTGAGGGGCCCCCAGGTTCTTGGCTTCTGGCCAAGGCCCTGCCAGCAGTTGTCGGGACCCACACTCCTACAGGCCCAGGTGGGCTCCGGGGCCACCTGCCCCTCGTAAGCCCCAGGTCCCCACTGGAGGACACTCCAGTGGGCAGAGCCAGCCCATCTCAGGGGTCCTCACTGTGCAGGCAGCAGAGGGCTTGAGGCTCCCACAGCACCCCCAGAGCAGCCCCACTCCGCCTCGACCAGCTCCACCCCAGCAGACAGCAGGTCCGGCTGGCCCGAGTCTGTGCCATCCCAGGGGAGGCTGCTGCTGGCCCAGGCCCTGTGAGGTGGCTGGGATCCCCACGTAGGCACTGCAGTCCCCGGGGACACGTGACTCCTGCTGAACATGGCCTAGCAGGGGCCACCTGGACACACGTCATCAGAGTCTGCAGCACAGCACGGTCTCACGAGGTGACGCTCCGCTGTGGCCGGGGTGCAGGGAGAGCAGAGGAGGTGGCCAGAGAGCGACAAGGGATAGCCTGGACCCCACAGGACAGCCCCAGTGCACAGGCTTATCCCGAGAGCCTTCCCTGCAGGAGTGTGGGTCACTGCAGCATCTCTAGCCTCAGGTCAGCATGGAGGCCATGGGGCAAGCTGGGAGCTGCAGCTCAGGTTCAGGGGTCCCGCTCCAGGCAGCCAGATGGGCGAGGTCCCGGGCAGTGCCGTAAACAGAGCCAACTGCCCGCTGCACCATCCTGTCCACACCCACAGGCCCCCCCCCCGCTGTGGCCCCATACCTGCAGCCAGTGCCAGCAGGCTCAGCCTCCCACCTCCACCCTGTCCGCACCCCCGGGCGCAGAACCATGACTAGTGGCCACTGACGTGCGGCCCTGCGGATGGCTCCCATAATGACCTTGACCGCGGCCCAGGCAAACCCCATGGCCTTGACCTGGGGAGTGAGGGCAGCTACGAGGCAGAGGCGGCAGGCGTCCTGTGCTGCTCGCTGCCCCGTGCTCAGGGAGAGCGGCCTGCAGCCACCAGCCTGACACCTGCTGTCCCCCCAGCTGCGGTCCTGGCCTCTCTCCCGGGGGCGCCCGCCCTCCCCGCCCGCCTGTCCTGAGGCTGATGGCCGGGCACACGTGTGGCCGCAGCTGTGGGGCTCATCAACACCACGCTGGCCCGGGCCAGCGGCTGGCGTCGGTGACGACCACAGGGGGCAGGCGTGGCTGGGCTCGGGGCGGTGCGGGACCAGCAGCTTCATCCCACCAGACCGCCCTTGGCACAAGGTGGGGTTGGAAGGCCTGGCAGAGGCTCTGATGCCAGGCTGGTGCCGGGACATAGGCCTGGGACCCGGGATGTCTCCCGCTGACACTCCGAGGCCCTTCCTTGGAGGCGAAGGCAACAGGCCCAGGTGGGGGCCGGCTGACAGGCACTGGGCGGGCACATCCACCAGGGTTCCAGGCCGAGGCCGACCAGGAGGCCGGGTGGTACCTTGCCAACTGGCCACAGCCATCCTGAGCACCGCCGCGAGCCCTGGACACTGAGCAGGGCTGGCGAGCACCTGTTCCTAGGAGGGGTCTAGGACCGCCCCCCAGACCAGAGAGGAAGCCAGGAAGAGCTGAGGCCATCAGGCCTGGCTGGCCACTGGAGCCCTCGCTTACTCTGCAGAAACCTGGCGAGGAGGTGCAGCCAGCAGCCCGGCTTGCAGGAAGGGGGTCAGGCCCGGAGAGGTGGAGTAGCCTGCCCATGGCCGCGGACAAGCAGGCAGGTGTTCGGGTTTGGGCCGCCTCACCAGGGTTAGAGAGCTGCGGATTTCAAGCTGGTTACTGGTTCCTGGCAGGCTCCTCACAGCCAGGGGTCCTAATCCAGGCGGGTTCAGGCCTCAGGGGCAGGAAGCCCCTCCACACCGCCCACGCTGGCTGCCCAGCCACAGCCACGCCTCTCAGCTGGTTCCATAAAGCAAGCATGCAGACTGCAAGCCACGTGGGAGGGGCGACTAGGAGGAGGTAGAAGAGTGTGTGGCGAGGCTCAGGTGCTTGGTGCACCCTGTCCCATGTGGAGCAGCCCTGGGCAGCCACGAGGGGCCAGCAGGAGAGAAGCCACCCTGTGTTCCAGGGTCTTCGTTCGGGGTGGGGTAGACGAGACCGCCCAGGGCTGACAGGTTTCCACGGGGTGTCGCGGCTCGCGACTCCGCGTCCCATGGGTGGAGAAGCTGAGGCTCAGGAGGGCCAGCAGCCCCCTGGGCTCGGAGCCGAGACACCCCGGGGCCTGAGCCTGGCTCAGGGAGTCCCCAGCATGCTCGATGGCCCAGGGACATCTGTGTGAAGGAGGACAGGGCAGAGGTGTGGGCTCTCCCCGCCCCAGGAACCCGTGGAAATTCCCAGCCCCGCGGCCGGTCCCCAGGGCCCGGAGAGACGCCCCCCCCGCCCCCAGTTGAGCATCGCTCTCAGGTGGGAAAAGAGCCAGGCCGGCGGTGGGAAAGGACGCGGAATGTACCCGACAGGCCGCCCATCCATCACTGTCCCTGTCCCTGCGGTTCCTGGGCGTCCTGCCCAGTGGGCCTGGCCCCAGCCCAGCACTCCCAGCCCAGGAGGTCCAGAACCTTCTGCAGGGGAGGCAAGCCTGCCTTCCTTGGAAATGCCCCACCCCACGTGGCAGTGTGCACAGCGACCCATGGGGCGTCGTCACAACACATTCTCAGCTGACAGGGACACACGGATGGCGGGCCGTGAGGGCTGGCCACACAGGCGGTGCCCAGAAAGGTGTCCATAGCACCCGGCGCACACGGCCGCACTGAGACCACCTGGCCGGCAGAGGACCAGAGGAAGTGGCGGGGGGGGGGCCCAAGCTACTCGGTCTCTGGGAGAAAGGAAGGTGGCCGAGTGGCTGTGGAGCCCAGAACTCGGCCACCGGAGCTGCTGCGCCCGGCCCTGGCCCAACACGTGCCTGTGCAGCCATCAGCGCCCCGGGCCGAGCCAGTGCCAGGGCTGGGGTGCTCCAAGCGGCTGGAATTAAGACCCTCGTGCCCCGGGGAGACTCCGAGTGGTCCCCAGGCGGCCCGGCTGGTGGCACACAGAGGAAGTGCATTCCTCGCCCAGCTGTTGGGGCTGTGCCGCCGACAGCTCCCCACCACAGTGGGGGAGCCCCACCATCTGGGCCGTGCCAGGGAACGGCAGCAGGACGGGGCGAGGACAGGAAGGGCGTGTGCTAGGAGCCTAGGGAGGGCTGTGGGGGCAGGCGGGTGGGGAGACCTTACTCAGCTCCACGGTTCGAATCTCCATGGCCTCAAGGGGCTGACTCAGAACTTGGCTTGCAGGGGTAGGCTGAAGGGCCCTGGACCAAGGAGGGTCCCTGGGTGAGCCCGCCCTCTGGGCCACCCCCAGTTTGGACCCGGCCCCTCCCAGCTCTGACACAGGGCCTGCCCATTCATTTGCTCAGACACCTGTGCCCAGCGTCCACGTGCCAAGCTCTGAGCTACGAGGGTGGCCAGGAGCCTGTTCTCAACCTGCTGTCACTGCCGGGGCGGGAGGGCCCAGTGGGGTGGCCATGCCGCACCCTCCCTCCCTCCTCTACCCGTCAGGACTGCCACAGGCTGAGGCCCGCACTGTGTGGTCCCAGCACCTGCTCCTGTCAGAGCTCCCCTGCCACGCCTAGGTCGCCCTCCAGGTCCTGGCACTGCTCGGCCACCAGCACCCCCACGCTCCAGTCCCGGGCAAGGAGGACTGGCCAGCTCGGCTGAGGAGTGGGGCCACCCAGGAGAGCCGACAGTCCCCGCTGACCCATACCGAGCTCACGTAGAGGGACTGCCAGGCCCTCGACTCACCTCGAGCTGCCAGCCCACGTGGGCCCTGACGTCCACGGAGTGGCCACGGGCGAGGCGGCAGGGCTGAAGGGTGTGACACAGCCACCCTGGGCCGGGCCTGTGCACCACGCACCTGGGCGCCCGCCCGAAGGACGTTCCCGGGCAGGCTTGAGGCACACTCAGGCAGCGCCCTGGAACCAGACCCGGTGTGTGGGCTGAGGGGCAGGGCAGAGGCCTGGCATCGCTTCCCGGAGGGAGGGGCAGGGTGTCCCCAGGGCCCCTACTCGGGCTGGACCTGGGACCACACTGTGTGGTCCTCTTCCAGCCGATTCCAGAACATTCCATCTCCTCTCCTAGGAACCTCTGAGACGTCCCAGAAATGCCAATCGCAGGTCACGACGGTACCACCAGGCATCCCCATGACCACTGGGCGCCACAGAGTATGCTGGGGCACGCCTGTCACCCACAGCTCGGGCGCTACTGAGAACCCCGTACTGTCCTGCCCAGTGGTGCGGAGCCAGGGCTGAGACATGCCAGGTCCTGTCATCTGCATGGAGACAGAGTCCCAGCTGCTGCACACGGGCCCTGCCCCGGGCTGGTGGGTCCCTGACCCCCCCACAGGAATGGGCGAGCACCGCAAGCACCAACGCGGTGAACGCCCCAGCACGTGGCGGGGCGCACAGTAGGTGCTGCCAGTGCGAGGGGCGGGCAGCTCCGCGCACACTTGCTTCCTCAGAGCCCAGGCTGCATGGCGCCATGCATGCAGAGGAGAGGGGAACCTCTTGCCCTCCGGGGACGCAGCGACACAACACCGGGCTCCACAGGCGGGTCCTGTGCCCCTCACAGCCCTGCCTGGGCGCCAACCCCACTGCGGTCTTGGGCAGCATGCCCACCCCAGGGAACCCCTTCCCAGGCCTGGCCTGGCCTGAAGGGTACAGGGCCCCTTGGGGGGAGTCGCTGGCATCCCGAGGGCCACCCTGGGTCCCACGAGCAGGACGCACCCTCCCGGCACTCCAGGAAAGCGGCCACCCCCAGAGTGACCTGGACGGGAGGCCTTTCTGCGCAGACCCCCTGCCCCACCGGCCCCACACTGCCGGGCTCACGGCAAGGTCACTGGGCAGGGAGACCGAGAACTCCGATTCTTCTAAGGAAGGGCAGGAAAATATATTCTAAAAACGCGTTTTACAAACCTGCCCCTC